ATTTTGATACACAGAAGGATAAAGAATTGTTCAGGTTTAACATTGTTTTTACATTTTTGAATAGTCTGGCACCAATTTATCTAAAGTGTTTTCTATAAACATAATCAAAGGTAAGAGGTAGAATCTTTCAAACAAATTGTTTTATATCAATTTCTTTAGATTGCCTAACAGACAAATGACAACTTTTTAAGTTTAAGCTCCTATCCTGAGGAACAGTCTCATACTTTCTCAGATGTCTTGCAAAAATCAAGTTATTCACTTTTAAAGATTAATCTTTTTACATTAGTTGTTAATTGTAAAGATTGTCATATCTTCAGTGTCACATGAATTACAATTTTTGTATACATTGTCTTTTACTGTATACCGCTTTGATCCCTGTTATTAGTTTCAATTACCAGAGCAGCATAATGACTGTAATGAAATTAGTTGTTTAGAAATAAACTATTACCATTTTCTAAAATAGGTTCTTGGACGCATTGCAAGACAAATAAAGCAACTTAGACGAGGTTTGAAAGAAACCCCAATATGGTCCCTGGTAACTCGGCGACCTGATGCTGTACCCCTGCTTTTTCCAAGGGAGGAAGCGTCCCTGTGTCCAGAGGTATATTTAAATAACTGGAATTATGATGTTGCATCTGTTATTTTAATGTAATTCCTTTTATATAACACATTTTCTTTACAAACTTCTGTTAAACACAAAACAATTAGTTTTTTCTACTATACTTAGGTGGTACTTCAGCATATCACTTGGCCAGAAATGGATGATGAAAGTGATGAAGATGATGACTGCTCAAAGGAAACCAGATGCCGCATTTCAGGATATCTGAAACAGTTCATTGCAAATGGTAATGTTACCAGTGTCTGATTGGAGATTTTCAGATGACTTCAATGAAGCATGCCTGTAGAATTTTTTTCTTAGTTGCTTGCAGTGGTACCTCACAATTCAGTTTTAATCTTAGCTCAGAATTCAAACAGTTGATTTGCATGCATGTTTGTGTGTTCTCTCTGTGTAGTCTAGCTCTATCCCAACATGTGGCTCCAGTTACTTTTGTCTTTGCAACATACAAAGTTATCCATATGTTGCAGATATATGGTAAATTGATTTGAAAGTGTGATTGTGGCTTTGCTCTCTTCCAAAGCCACACCACCTGAACTGAAAGAGTTGATGAAATTCTGGACCGGTTGGGAAAATCTGCCATCAAGTCTGTCGGTGGAGATTGTTCATGGGAACTACCCAACAGCTGCCACATGCTTCGAAACACTAAGACTTCCCTGTCATTACAAGAATTACAAGTCATTCAGTGAGGACTTCTTAGCATGCATTTCCTCTACACAATCTGGATTTGGCTTGCTCTGAGTGATCGACTTGTTAAAAAAAAAAAATCTACAGTTAAGCTGTAGTAGTTCTTTGTGAAGCAGCTTTGTTTAAACAGAACAGTTCTGTTGAAATATTGAATCTATTCAATTTTCTGATTTTTGTCAGATTACAAGTTCAATACATATGTTTAAATGTAATCATTTGTCTTACTCAGAGTGACAACATTGTTGGTACTCCACTTCCTGTGGTTATGTCAAATTCAAGTTCAAATTCTAATGTTCAGAGTAGATATTTAATTTAAGTCTAAGTCAGTACTGTTTGTACAGGCAGTTTTAAATATGAAAGTGAAATAGTTTTTTATGCAAAATTTCATTTCATTTATTGAATGTACTTGAATGTTCATATATGCTTCAAGTATGAGAAAATAAATTATATAAGACAAACCTTTTTCTGATTCTTTTAATGCAAGAAATGTGAAGTCCTACAACAATGTACCTAATGGGTTCCTATTGAGTAAGGAAAAAAAAAAATTACAAATTTAGAAAATTTTAGTTCTTTAACATGTTTACCATAAGAGCACTAAAATTCACCTCTGTGGTAACATGATCAGCATTTTGCTTTGCATTTCATAAAACTAAATCCTGTTAAGTATTCAAAATAAATCATGCTTTGCTTTTATTTTTTATGTCATTTTTTGCAATTATGTACAAGTTAAATTCAGTGAATAATAATAACCAAGTAAATTATGCTTACCATATTTAACATATGATTGTATATAAGTAACTAATCATAACCGTGATGTGTTTTTCCCGTAAGATAACTTTCACACAGTAAAAAACTGCTCACAAAACTGAACTGCAGCAATATAAATGTCACATCCAAAAGACAGTGATGTGGCTTTTGGGTTTACTGCATTTCTTAAGGCTGCCATTTGTTCGTCAGTCAGTTGCAAATTAGAGTTTGGTACTGTGACATTTGACTCCTCGTGAAGAGGAAGCCCGCTGTCCTCCCATTCGATTTCGGGAATCTGTACACCCTGAAAAACACAAAGAAGGGATCAAGACAACTCAAAATGTACTTAAGATATTACAAATTAGGTGAATGGTAGTAGACATGCTACACATTAAATTGTCCAATTAAAACGTACCTCTGTCAAGGCACCATGGGGTTCAGGAATTGGATTATGTGTATGACCAAGAACCCAGAGCTGGTTAGGTGTCATGTTGCTTTCAGTTCGAAGTGGGTGATTGTCCCAGCCACTGCGGAAAGTATCCAAATCTTCCTGCAGACGAGGCAGGAAGACATAATGGCAACAGAAGAGGTGTGCTTCATTTGAAAT